CGAATGACTGTATGAATTCCGCTGTGCTGTGCGCTGCGATGAATGTTGGGATGTGCCTTGCTCTCTAATGCTACTTGGAGGCTCCACGCGCTGTTCTCTCGATACACCTTGTTCCCGAGAGACTGGTTCAGGGTTTGATGATGCACGCCGTGCAGGGTGCGAACTCCGTGTTTCACTCTGTGATGCGTTGCTCTGCTCGGGGGGGAGGTCCTGCGTCTCATCATAAAGGTCACTGAAACGGTTCTGAAGAACGATCACGTTGTCGTGTTCGATGTTGCGCTGGCCCCGGCTTCGGACGGCAGCTCGGGCAGTTTTGAAGTCTACTTTGTTAATTGTTTTGTACTTGTTTACGGCTCGTTCTTGTTGCCAGATCACACAGTCTTTCGAGGTTGCCTCATGTGCGCCCTTGCAGTTCACGCACTTGGCACTTTCGGCTTCGCATCTTTCGCTCGCGTGGGAGCCAGAGCATCTGGTGCACACCTCGGGCCGAGTGCAAACTGCCTTGACGTTTCCAAACTTACCACACTTCCCGCACTGCGCTGGTCGATCAACGTATAGTTCGACCTTATGTCGTACTCTGCCCAAAAATACGTGTTCCGGTAGGGTCGCAGAAGCGAAAGTGACGCGAACCGTTTCTGTGTCAGCAAAACGACGCACCTGCGTGATTTTCGTCATGTTCGCGCTTAGGTTGCGAAGCAACACTTTCTCCGAGATGCTTGCGTCAACGTCCCGAATAATGCCCACAGCAGTGTTCGGATTCCGATGCTCGTATGCCCGCACTGCAATGCCGACGAGCTTCCTGATTCGCAGCAAGGACGCTGTGGATTCTTGATTTCGTGTGTCCACCGCGAGTATGTTCAATCTCTTGTTGCAGCGAATTTCACCAACTTCGGTAGGGGCGTGACTATTTAGAGCCTCCGTGAGTTTCAGGCCATTGAGCTTGTTCAGAAGTATCGTCGGGTCTTGCGGTGCGAAGATGACCGTCAGACCGAGTGAAACGATGGCTTTCTTTCTGCTTTCCTCATCACTGGCGCTCTCGATCTTGCGCTTTCGTTTGCGTCTTGTCTTCACAGAAATGAAGTCCTCGTCATCTTGGTCCTCTGGCCCTGATGTAGTCATGTCAGAGTCAGAAGTGTCGTTGGAAGTTGAGTTGTCATGGTTTCCTTTGCTGCCGTCCACGAGCTTGCCACTTGTCCCTGCTTCCGCAGGTTGTTGACCGTTGTCGAGATGACCGGCTGCCGTTGTGTTCGCACTGGTGTCGTTTTCCGCAATCACAATTGGGCCATGGCGACGGCAGCCCGAAATTACGACGCCGGTGAGAGCATGAGAATGGGAGGCCGGAGGATACCCTCCGTCCTCCCAGGGGCTGAACGTGGGAGCAGTCGCTGTTCCGTTGGTCGTCTTGTGGTGTCGGTGATTGATGTCTGCTTCCAGGCTTGTGTTTGCGAGCAGTTTATCTGGCGCACAACGACGGTCAGGGAGCCACCCGAAAAAGTATTAAGAGGGCGGCGGTGCGAAGCGGGATGCCGTGAAAGGCGATCTCGATCCGAACTATAGCTGTCGACGCGACGAACTGCAGCGATGCAGCTGACTCTCCGAGTATCCCGACGGACACCTGGTTGTTATTAACACCATCGTCACTTATATATACACACTGCCCAAACCACATCGCAGTGAATCACCACCATCAGAGCCAACCATCCAGAAAAACCACCTCACTCTGAAGCAAATACACAGACGGAGCGCTGACGCAATCGTTTCCTTTCTTTTTTATGTAAAATGCCTCTATAATCTCTCTTTCCGTTTTGTCTATTGCCTTTCTTAAAAGCTTTGTGCCAATCAGGTCAGGTTTACACCCCCACATCGCCTACAATGGTCAGCAAGATGCCCCCCCCCCCCCCCCCCCCCGTGTTGTTGCGCACACACAGATTACGCTCTCGTACTGTATCATTGAAGCAGCGCCCAGTCTGCCCAATGTAGCCTTTGCCACAAGTAGACGTAATCTCGTACACCACATTGGTGACACACGCGGTATATTTCAGCGCGTGTTTCTTGGAACACTGTGCTTTTTTCCGCTTTGTCAACATCGGACATATCCTAGCAAGTTTACACGGGCCCAAAAAACCACGTTAATGTCGTATCTGCCAGCTACCTTTTTTTAGATTATGAGACACGGTATGCATGTACGGAATGACGTGCACTCGTTTCCTTTCTCCACTTGCCTCGCTGCCTTTTTTACTTCATTTTAGCCTTTCACAACAACTAGAGATTAGGTTAGGGGGGTACCCCGCGTCTCTTAACCTTTTTGTTTTCCGTTCAAAAACTGATTTTCATCTGATGATTTTAACTTTTTTCCAGAGCATATAGCACATGAACAGTATGTTCGTAGTCGTGACACACTCCATTCCTGGCTAAATTCATAGTTGGCTTGAATTCTGATGAAACCGGAGGACACTCGGGTGCAGCGCACCGAAGACCACCCAACGCTCTTCTTCATTGAGCATAGCAAATCAACACTCACGCCTTAAGCAGGTACGACGTATTCTGGTCCCTTCACTCTCCGCAGAAAAAAAAAATCTTTCGGAAAATTGTTTTTCAGGGGGGCTCCCCAAAAGAAAAAGTGTCCGTGTATGTGTGTGTGTATGTGTTTTTAGATGTACAAGTTTTGGTATTATAAATCCTTCGTGTCCAGCCTGCTCCTCCTCCTTCTGGAGCCCAACATGCATTCGAACTGTGGACACCTCATACATAGGACCGGGTAGTGCAGTCATGTCATGTGTGGAGCCTGATGCGAGCCTCCCCCAACGTGTCCAATACCACACAGAATTATTGGAAGACTTCCCATGAGTTAAGTACAAAACAAGCAAGCTCGCGCTACAGAACCCAGGATCCTGGGTTCAATCCCCACACCTGCCCGTTTCGATCTGGGGAAAGCATCGTACCAGCGTGCGGTCGTGTACCACTACTGCGTGATGCACGTTAACGACCCCAGACTAGGGGTTGTACTGTAATGGCTAAATTTTTTCATCTACAGCTGGAAGACTCGTCGCCCGTTGAGGCATACCAAGTTAGAAGCTGTATAAACATAAACACGTCCCAAGTTTTACAAAACGAACGTGTCGGTACAGCATCCACCATGAGGAACCTAACATAGAGAAGAGGACGGGCATCAACGGCAGCAATGTCACTGTTGTCCGTCCCTTTTTTTGTTTCCTTCCCCAAGGTGGATTCACATAAGCGGGTCCTTTTTATCGCGTCGTCAAACCATCTCAGCCAAATGCAGCTCATGCGTTGGACAGAAATACAACAAATACAACAGACATCTTTTGGAACGTGGGGGATATCATTCCGCAAATACGCAGCGCCTCTCATACGGCAATCCGATGTACTGCACCTGAGAAAGTACCTATAAATGGAAAAAGCAGTTCATGTTTGCTTACCATTTCGCAATTTCAAGCAGCAAAGAAAGCATGACGATAACGCAACAAGGTGCGTTTCGGCTTTGTGATATCGCCGTCCGCAAAGCCAAAAAAGCAACGCTCGGTCACGGACTTATAGAAGATTTGCGTTCATTCTTGCACCGGACGTAACTTTCGTCCTACTTTCTTGTTCTCGAAAGTGCCAGTTCATCCTCGCCCCGAACGAGCGACGCTCGAACCTTCCTTTGCAGAACTTTCGAGATAGTGACGCACTGTAGATAAGCAGCAGCCCGCGACCTTGTCGAGTCAGTCTCGCTCTTTGTTACGCCGCCGGATCGCCGCCTGCTTTTCTGCTGCCTCGACGCTCTTTCTTACTCATTTTGGTTGGCACAAGTTCGCCAATAAATTCTTTGTTTTCAGTTCTCTCTCCGCCTTCTCGTCACCTTCATTCGTGACAATATGTTCGCTTTGTTTTCTTTGTGTTCTGAATTCGCAGTTGTAAGAGAGAAGGAATTAAGTCAGTTCCATCACTTACGTAGCGTGTTACTTGGCCCGAAGGCACATCCGAACGGTTTCACGATTCCCGCTCCGCGCGATGCAATGTGGTATTGACGAGAGGCCTTCTGGAATTTTCCCTAAAGGTCTATTGCTTTCCGCTATACAATTAAATCGTCAGCGAACACTTCAACTCGGGTTCATGGCCCATCAGCCTAGTAACGCAAATCGCCGATTAGTGCGCGTGGAAAACACGTGCCTCAATTCATTGCCAGCCCAGGCACCTGGCTGTTAGGACACAACCAAACGCCAACTGGCACCAGAATAGGAGGCCGCTTGTCATGGTATCACCACCAGTCAAAAACTTCCGCAACTCTGGGCGCGACTCACGAGGTTAAAGCTTTTTAGCTTTTTGAGTTTATTTTTAGCGCCCAGCTCTTAGGCGCCCGTTTCCGGCTTGAGCGGTGACGCCGTCGCCGTCCGCGTAACCGCGCGTTGCATTCTGGGACGTTTCCCATAACGTCACACGTGACGTAACGTGCGACGTCGCGAGGGTTACCCTCACGAAGGTCGCGAGGATTACCCTCACGAGGGTCACGAGGGTTATTCTTAGGAGGGTCATGAGGGTTACCCTCAGGAGGGTCGTGAGGATTACACTCACGAGGGTTCCCCTCGTGACGTCACACGTAACGTTACGTGTGACGTCACAGACGTCACACGCATCTGACGCTGCCAATATTCCCGCTAAATGTAGCGGGGAAGAAAGACGGGCATACTGTGAGGCTGGGCAGAGAGGCTTGCACTTTGGGAAAATAACTGTTTAATAAGGGAAGGAGCGTGTTCGTCTGCGCGCATGACTTCACGCGCCAGCGGCGAGGGATGATCTGATCATCTGAATCTGATTCCGCGTGCTCCGAGGTATAGCTTGCTCGGGCAGCGACGTGGGTCCTGGACGAGTGGCGCCCTCTCTCAGTGCACGATGTCACTTGCTCGACGGTCTGAAAAGGGAGCGCTCTCACTATACCCTCCCCTCCTCCTCCTCCAGAGGTGCGCTCCAATTCGGCGTTACAGAAAATTATAAACGTCTTTAATTTTTTTTTTCCTTTTCGAAGAAAACTTTATTTGATGAAAATGCCTGCAGTAAGACATTCCTGACAAGCAAAATGTTTCCATCACTGGGCTAGTGGACCAATTCTCCTATTCGAGATTGTGCCAGCTTCTTCGGAGATTATTATAACAAAACTACTGTTTATTGATGACTTTAGTCAACACCACCTCGTACGGTCAAGGCCTGAAAGCAACCTCCTCTTCCTACGTCATCACTGTTGGACGGCGCGAAGTCAGCAATTGTGTACGCGCCCGCTATAGATCTCACTGTGATGACAACGAGACTCTAGTGCACAAGGTTTGATTACTTCGAATGGCGTTTCCTTAGCCGGCATCCTTAGATATTCAATGGTCAGAAGGTGGCTTATGCTGCGGTCCCATAGCGTTGGCGAAGGGACCAAAGAAGGGCCAGTCCTTGAAGCGCGGCGAAGCAAGATACTCGCGCAGACCGGTAAGGTCTGCCACGCGCCCGTTGTATTGCTCCAGGGACTGGAAGTTCCCCTTGAAGTTGCTAGGGCCCAAGACGCGAGCGATCTCCAGCGCTTCGTAGAGCAGGAAATCGACGTAAGTCACATTCTGGCCAGCCGCGAAGGGCCCGTCCTTCTCCAGCAGGGCCTCGAACTGCCGGAGTTTCTCGGCTACATCTGCGAGGAAATGTTTCCGCTTTTCGTCCGAATAAGCGGGGTCGTAGCAGAGATCACCGGCGGACATGATGAGATCGAAGGCTTGCATTTCGATCATGTCCACTCGCCGCTGTAGTTCGTCGGTCTTGGGAGCGAGGCCATGCTTGCGACCCAGGTACTTGAGGATGGCCAAGCTCTGGGTGAGCTTGACGTCGCCGTCCAGGTAGTACGGGAGGTTGGGGAAGTCCAGGTCTAGGTTTTGCTTGTCCGCAAGCCATTCGTCTCTAGTCCAGTTAGGGTCGGTTCCGAAGCTGTACCTGCGAAGCGGGATAAGATATATATATATATATGGGCATGGTGGGCGACAGGCTGAAGGCGTGGGTATATAACTGAGAAGAAAAAACCCTTAGTGAAAACAGCAACAACGGACGATTTATTCTTCGACGGGGTCTAGGGAGGGAAATTGATGTACACGAGGTATGCACGAATTTAGCGGGGAATTTAACGTGACACACACCGGTTTAGTTTCCACTCTAAGTTTAGCCGGGAAATTGACATTACGTGATATGATGAAACGTGACCAATGCACCACTTGACTTGCGTTGTCAAATTTAGCTTGAAAATTGGTGTCACGTGGAGACGTGACACCAATTTTGTTACTGTATTTAATGTGGGAAATAATAAACAATAAGTTTTCTTCACTCCCCGAAACGTGTGTTTAACATTTACACAAATATACACGATCCCTTCTTGAATCCTATTGGACCTTGAATGTAAAGGCCGGTGCCATTTCCTTTTAGTATCTACGTAGAACTTGAAAGGCACGCAAATTCTGGATCACAAGCTTAAAAAACAACAACAACAACAACAAAAGCAGAATAATGTTTTAGACATTATTCTGCTTTTGTGGAACTTTCCGGGCATAAATATTTTTGATTGAAAACCTTACCATCCAAAATGTATAGTGTTTTTAACCACCTGTCAAAACAAAAAAAAAAAACAACAAGGAAACAGCGACTGGGCGTGTTTTTAGTGCTACCGATTTTAATTATTTTCCGGCATTCAATACAATCAACCAGAAACCATACTGAAAGAGGTATACTAAAATACGCTGAGGTTGTCTCTTCTGATGCCGTCATCAAAACTCTCATGCGGATAGTTGACCAATACATAAAGTAGAAAAATAACTGCAAAATGAATACTCATTTCACATTTACATGAATAATCACGCGCTTGATGTAAGATATATTAACACACAATTGGGTCTGATCTCAAACGCCTGTGGTTAAGAACAACCAAGATTTTCTCCGAATGAATAAAAAATATAAGTTGTCTACTGTTTACCCTCAAGATTTTTATTTTTACCGTTTGATGTACTCGGAAAGTTAATTGTATCATTTTAATAGAGCACCTTGACTAAAAGCGAATCTCCCGAAATACATCTTTCAATAACGCTTCAGCTGCCGCTGTCAATCGCGGCACACTTCATGCGGTCGTTCGCAATTTCTTGGACCGCTTTGTTTGGTTTCGCGTTAGTTCCTTAAAACTTCGTCACCGCACAGCGTACCTTTTTTCCTTGTAATCGACTTTGGCGTACTCCAACAGGTACCGCAGGTATTGACCGAGACCCCGGACGTCCCAGTATCCTAGTACGGGCGCCATGACTGTGGGTGCCGATACTTGAGGTGATTGCTTCTCCGTTCACTGCATGCGCGCAGGATACTATACTGCGCGCCTTCTGCTTTTTTCTGTTTGCGGTATAGGCGCGTGCAACACTCGAAGGAAAGAACAAACACTTTCACGCCCCGTCGGGAAACGGCGATAGCGGTGCGTCGCGTCCATGAAAAGGTCGTCGACACAACGCTCGACAGGCCACCACCATGAATAAAGTGCCTCTATCTTTAGAGGAGTTCTTGAAGGCATTTTAGATGTGATAAAGAACAATCAAAGCAGATTTACGTTCTCTTGTAATGTATGTCACAGCGACAGCAGCCAGCGTGCCGTAGATTAAAATCGTGTTCTTCGGACCCGCCGCGACGGACTTTGCGAGCTCTACCCGTACGGCATGCACACGGCTGTCTTCCTTGGGCACATCGTGCTCTTGTTTACCCGCCAAATGCGCTCTTTTGTTACCTCAAGCGCGAGTCCCGGAGGAGGAGAGGGGTGGCCGGCCTCGCAGATGATCGTATGCGCTTGCGGCGTCATGACGAGGTACCGCCACAGGGAGCCTCAGGTGCGGCGGCTGGGAGCGATACCGTAATTGACGACGAAGCTGATGATGTCGAAGGGAGGAGTTTTCGCGTCGGACGATAATATAGAGATACCCACTAACAACCGTTGCTGAAAAAAAAAAAAAGAAAACACGGGAAATTAGATTTGGGGCAGGGTTTACAGTCGGAGCAATTTATAGACAACTCCTCGCCGATCTTCTTAGTATAAAGCTTTTGGCCGCAGACCTGCTGGAGAAATTCTTACCTCTTCTACTCTGTTTCACATTAAGTCTGACGGCAGTCAAAGCTACGACGTAATCGGGTCAATGAAGCAGCACCAAAATTAGAATCATTACGGTGCTCGTCATCTTGGCCTGTTTATACTAACACAGGCTAAACCACGCAAGCAAACACACACTCACACACACAAAGCAAAGGACCACGACGCATTCACTATTCCTGATTGGTGGTTCAGCCGGGGATAGACAACGCGCAAGGATGGTGAGCGATATGACGGTACGTCTTTGGCGCTGCTTGGTTGGCTACATCGGAACGTATAGCCTTCACTGAGGTTGGACTTACTCTCTGGGCTCGCGACGCGGCCCGTGCAGATTAATTAATTATCGACGAGTTTTCGTTGTAACCATATTAAAGGGGGTCATGAAACGGTATTTTGGGTTTTCAATGTTGCTTGACTAACAAGAGTGCGCAATATACTGACCCATATGTTTGCGGAAATATACTTACACGGAATGCCACTGAGACATAAGCTCGCTTGTCGCGGTAGAATTTCGAGGCTAGAAGCAGGCTGCTCCTTCGCTAAGTTTATTGACGTAGTGACGGGGGGTCACTCTAGGATGACGATGGTCGAATGCGGAGCGCAAGCTCGTCTGCTTCTTTTGCGGGGTTTGTGGTGACGTCAGAATGCCGAGCGCTGATTGACTCTGATCGAAGGATAGAGGGTAGAACCCAAAGCAAGCTGCCTTGAGTTCTACCCACTATCCTTCAAGCAGAGCCAATCAGAGCTCGGCCTTATGACGTCACCCCAACCCCCACAAAAAAAGCAGACGAACTTGCGCTCCTTTTTGGTATTCTGCGCCACCACTGCGTAAACAACACACTAGGATTAAAAATAAAGAAATTACGTGTCACTAGTGACGTGCAGTACATGCGAACGCAACGCCAGCGAGGGGAGGAACGGCAAGCATCAGGAAGGCTGGGGAGGAGAAAAAAAACCTCCTTTCCTCTCTAACCTTCCTTTCGCCCATCATTGCCCTCCTCTCCCGTCCCACTTGGCAGTGCTCGCCCTTTATCTCTGAGCTTGACGTTACCTTAGCCTGCACTGCACACAACTAGTGAGTTTCTAGGCCCACATTTTGGCGTGTCCTCCCAAATTTCGGGGTCAATATAGCACGCACACGCCCGTGTTATTTGTTTATAAAGGGTAACGGATTTATGTTTATCTATCTTAATTATTCATTATTTGTTCAGAAGCTGCAGTTTAGATATGTGTGCATGAACTCAGCTAAAATCACAAATAAACAAAGTGCAAAAAGAAGACCAATTAAAAACTCTCGTTCATTCGACTGCCAGCATGATTATTATTATTATAACGACCGAGATTTTTAGTAGCAAGCGACAAGTTCGGTGGTGCGTAAAAAGTGGTTTGAAAGCCTAATCATTACGTTCCTAAATCGACGCCCTCAAGGTTGAGAGTCTGACTTTGCTCTTATTTCCGTCAATTAGAGCAGAACTCATCCCACTAAAGACGTCATATGGTGAGCGTTTGACCAATCGTGCAAGGCCGATGACACCGATGCTTTTGGTCGCGCACGTCGCCAATGCGCTTCTGAATTGTGTCAGTCTTCACACCCTGTTCGTACTTCACACCGGCAAACTTGTTGAAGGGGATAATTACCGTTGCATTTTGCAGACTCAACCGACTTATCTCTTAAAAAGGGTGACCAACCGACGAGACACAAGAAAAATTGTTTACATAGTTATAAAAACACACGAAACAGCACACGCACGTACACACACAACGCTGCATGGTGTAATCCCATTGGCAGTGGCAGCTGCGGAAACAAGGGTTGGTAAGAAAATGTAGCGGTTACTGACCTGAATAGGCGTGGAGCTCAAACTAGCGATACAGACCGGGCACTGTCGTCGCTGCCAAAATGCGGAGGCCTCGATTGACAGCTAGCAGAGGGTTTCATTGGCCGCGTCCTGTGGGCTACGTTACGAGTCTGTTCCAAGGACGTAAGAAGACACCCGCTGTCCCATCCGTCGAATATCGTTCTAAAGTGGACGAAAAAAACAGCACCTGCAGGTCAAGGCCGGAGTGCTCTCTCCGTGATGTCATGTGTAGAGGCGATGGTGTTGGGCGGAGCACCTAGGAAGAGCGCTGACGTGATCTAAACAATCAAACTTGGATATACCTTCGTAGAAACAAATACTTATTGGCATGCACCAGTTTTATTTTGTAGAAAGGTATCTAGAAACAACGGACGGTCTAGAAAACATATTTTATTATACTGCAGACGATCGGGCGCCGCGGTACTGGCATCGCAAGTGGATTGAACTCCGTAGCTATGAGTTTTTATTAGAACAGATATCTTTTATCACCCAGAATGATTGTTATACACGACAATTATGCCAAAAGGTGTAACCAGACAAACTATTGGGAAAAAATGATTGAAGCATAGTGTGACAACAAGGAAGGTGTATCCCAACATCGCGTTAAAGATGGGCTTGTTTTTAAGCATACTTTTTTAGTAGAGTAATACAGCTGAACCACATAAACGTTTTATAAGAAAAAAAAGAGTGATCGCACGTGGCACAAGAGATCACGGTATTAATTGCTAAACGTACAGAACCAAAAGCCCGCTGAAGCTATTGATACAAACGCAATACTACATTTTTGAGGGCGTCACATTTTCCACTCTAAGAACACATAACATCCTTATTTGAACAAAGAAATATTACAGCGGGTTAAGATAGGAAACTATTAATTGGAGTAGAACGACGTCGCTCTCGGCGTTTGGAAAGGGGTGCAAGTTGGGAAATCGATGTCACAAAAACTAGGCCACGGAAGTGATGCCCCACAGATAACACCGGAGCGCCGATCGATTTAAGGCCGGTTCACACATACAGCGGAGCGCTCAGTTAGCGCTTTATGAGCGCTGGAAGCAGCGCTCATGTGGCACCGACTTGCGCGTGATGTAGCGCTCGGTTAGCGCCTTCAAGGGCGGCTTACACATACAGCGGAGCGCTAATAGAGAGTTTTAGTAGACCGTTTTCATTTTCCGCTCCGCTCTGAGGGGGCCAAACTGCGCATGCGCGGCCTCCTTCGCCGGAATGGAAAGCGGAGGTTCAAAAACGCGTTTTAGTAGAGCGTTTTTCTTCAGCGTAAGAGCGTTTTGAGCGGGTTCGAAAAATTTGCTTGCGTAGCCCCACAAGGGGACGTTTATAGTACTAGTAAGACAAAAAAAACTTAAACGTTAACACCAAGAGAGTGAAAGGGGGCGTGTTTGTAGAGGCGGTAAAAACGAAGGCGACAACAATAAACACGAAAGAGTAGGCACGCACTCGAAAAAATATTAAGCTATAAAATATAAATATAATCGTTCCACCTTGTGTGCGAGTGAAGCCGAAGGTATAAGCATGAGCATGTTGCTCGAAACGGTACTTGAACTGCACGAGCGCGCGTGCTGGTCAAGGACGCTGAAAGGCCGGTACTCGCTCTTGTAGCTTCTGCTCCACTCGAATTAAAAATTAAACAGATTTACTTATTGGAAGTAGAAAAATGAAAGAAAAGGACGAAGTTTGCGCATTGCGAGTACATCCTTTTGCGTAGTACGAGTACAGTGTTGCTCAAGGCTAGCAAGGCATCTGCACGATGAATCCCCGGTGTTCTCAAGGAAAGAGACTTCTACTAACGAGATTAAGCTGGCGAGACATCGAATCTATGATTTGTATCCCTTGTGTCATCAAGCGCCGAAGCTTCCTTTTCGAACACGGTTTGCTGGATATTTCCAACGTAGAAGAGAAACCCTTTAGGAGGCTATCCTGCTTAAAGAAGGACCTGGCTGCTCTGCATGTGGGCCTCCAAATACCAGCACCCAACAGATCGGCGCAGGGTGTTGCCAATCTGGCGAGACGCTTTGCATGGTTCTTTGTCGACTGGCCTATCTCAACCGTCTGTTCGTTCTTGGATGAGCATTTGGACGGAACTCATCGGTGTTCTTCAGTTTTGTGAACCTCATCGGTGGGTCACATGATTGAGAGGTTCGGCCACCTGCTCGCTGACATGAACAAACATAGGTGGTTTACTCTGGCGAAACTGGAGCTGTGCTCATAGGTGAGACCCTGCATGGTTTGTGTAAATTTCGCGTTTATATTGTTTCCAGCAGAGCTGCTTTGTCTGGTAAAAGGTTTCTTTTTTTCAAAAGTCTTTACTTTTGTTTGGGCACAAAAAAAGGCAAGGTGTACATGGGTAGTGTCAGGACAAGTCAGG